ATGGAGACGACAAAGCCTCTCAAGGTGATTGGCTCATCTGTCTCGGTTGCCATGGCAATCGCCATTTCGGGCCTTTCAAGTCTTCAAAGCTTCGAAAGGGTTGTTCCAGCCAGTTGCACCATGAACGCTATGGGGCATCATCATACTGAAAGCGTTCATCGGCCAATTTTACCGTCTTTGGCTCTGTGCATGCAATAAACTTATCACTCATGCTCACCTCGCCAGATCACTTACATTTATGTTGCTCTTCTTGCTTATTTCAAAACGGTAAAACAATTTTCCAGTGCCTCCAAGCACCGACGTTGCGTGTGATGGCGGTACGAAGATGTAGGCCATTACATGCGACGTCTGTGCTTGGAGGCATTGAAAAATAATTTTCCTGTCTCGAAATATGCAAGAAGAACAACCATATTGTAACAGATCTGGGGAGATGAGCATGAGTGATAAGCATGTACTGCATGCACAATGCCGAAGACGCTTATATTGGTCGGTGAACACTTTCAGTACGATGATACTCCATAGCGATCGTGGTGGAACTGGTTGGAATGATTCTTTTGGTTGTTCTTTCTGCGGCCCATGGCAACCGAGACCAATCAGCAAATCAACTTGAGAGGTGTTGTCGTCTCAATGTTAGTTTTTGTTTGTGTCTGGCTAGCATGCTGAAAGGCAATGGCGCTACTTCCCAGATCCAGTGACTCTAACAAGCGTTGAAGGCTGTCAACTGTAGGTCATCACTATGGGCAGGCATGTCTTTCTTTCGAACACTGGTATGGGCGACGCACGGACAGGTCAGCTTGTTAGAATGACTGCTGCGAAGCTTAGGGCTGGATATTTGCTGTCAGGTTCCTGGAGCGTCTTCTTTCTGTGTATATCTTTAGTCTACCTCGAGTCTGAACACCTGAAAGGCAAAGAAACCACCTTCTTCGCTAGTATCAAGCTCTGAGGCTGCTACGATTCCTTGCCGCGCTGCCGAAAAATTCACCGTGATTTCTGCTGCCCGAGTTTGTGGTGTGTTCTGAACATCGAGAGTTTGATCCGGGACAGTTTGTTTTCAGTGTAAGTTTGTGTCGGTGCCTAACCTGACTGGTTGTGAGACAAGTAACGCGACCTTGATGGAGTTCTGAAATGAGAATCTGCTCCTATTGTAACACATCTCACAAGGAGCTTTGTCAGAGGCAGCGCTGTCGCAGACCTTCATCGTGAAGTTCCAAATGCCATTGCTGTCTGGCACCAAGAAGAATGTCCATCCATCAGCCTGTGACTTTCAGAAGTGAAACAGCTTTTGCCCATAGCTCCAACCTCTAGTCAAATGTAATGTTTGCAATCTTTTGCACACTGCAGTGTTTGTCCGAGACAGCCTGCTGGGATTGTTCCTCAAGAATGAGTTTGGACCATTCAACAATATAGAAGAGGAAACTAGGGCCCTTTTGGTGGCATTCCTGCCAGACTGCAATTAATGAATGACTGGAAGCAGTTCATTGTGAGCAAGGGTGGGGCCAGTGCGCCGGCGAGAGTTTTTTTGCTGCTGCTTCATCTGGTGGTAACTTAGTAAGGTTTGAAGAGTGCTTCCGAGATGACCACTGCAAAGGCATGTCCCACATCAAGATGACTTTGCACCATGTATTTTCTCTGCAAAGGGGATTTTGTGGACTAGCTTTCAAAGTTGTGTGTTTACACAATCTGGTTGACTCCATCTACCTCAGAAAGACCTTTTCTAGTGACCTGTGGTGGTTGCCTTCAATTTTGCATTTCCATGAACTGTTGGGCTCAAGTCTGGCACAGCATTTTGGCCAATGGAAGACGGTACATTAGTGAAGTGCTGCGACATGGTATGATTGTTTTGTTTTTCTACTTGCCATTGTTTCCTGTGGCTTAGTAGGGTGATGGTGCATAATTGCCACGAGAGTGTTTACTGCAATCCTCCAGGTGATTGTCTTTCTGGTTCAACGGGAATTTGGGAGTCACTTCCATCTTGCAGCTGAGCTGCAGGATTTCTGTGAAAGCATGTGCTGCTCTGAGTCGGTCTGTCAGAAATATGTGAATATCTTTAAGTACAAGGAATCTAAGTCAGATGAGAGACACAGAAACACTATTGATCTATTTTTTTGCTCTCCATGCAGAAGTCTGTTGCGCAAGAAATATCCAGTCCATTAACCCCCCCTTCCCCCCTCCCGAGTGTTATTGTGAATGCGGTGAGCAGTTTATCACTGATAAATATTATTCTGGAGCTTTAATGGACTAGTGGGTTTATTAGAGGTTCTTCAATTAGGCAATGTTTAAACATTTAACCTGTCTTTATTTTTTTAATGGAGTTCAAGGCCACTTGTGAAAAGCTACATATATTTAGAGCATTGTTTTTTGTTGCATATAAATATTGACCTCTACAAAATAATTTGTTTTATATGTTGAAATTCTATCCCAGAGGTAAATTATCACTGTTTGCCTTACTTGTTATGGAAAAGATGTTACATGTTTGTTCTTTATTTCCCCAATAGATGTGAGGTGACAATTTAATATTTGAAAGTGAGGTTTGCAAGTTTGTCACAATAGGATGCTGAGCATTTTGCACAGAGTTATATAGTGAGCTCATTCGATTTACCCGTGCCTGGCGCACTCTGTGCAGACCACCATACTCAATCTACGAGTGCAGCCTATCTAGAAACAACCGAAGGTACATTGCCCTGTACATTTCTGCACTATGCTACACTTTTCTGTGCCAGTGCAGGCTGATGGAGGTAAATCGAATTATCGCGACGATGCTCATTCGATTTATTTACCTACTTGAGACAGACAAAATGTTCCCAAGATAAATCAAGGTCAGTTGATAGATGTCCATGAAAATTATTTACTTTGTTATTTCTCGTTATGAAGCCTAGTCTCTCCTTGTCATCAATCCTGTATTTTGATCAGTTTGTTCATCTGTGGGACAATTTTTTCTTGTTTTCTTGCGTTCAACCGAAACCATGGATCCATAACTGACCATATGTTTTGTTAAGTTTGTGCAAGAGCATCTTGTTTGAAGGTATAATAAAGGCATAAAGATACTACTTTGTGCACTGTTTCATTGTAAGAACCCCAAAAGAGACATCTTTAGTGTGTTTATGCTAAATGGCCCTTTGGTGATACAGAAGGATGACTGCTGTTATTTATTTATTGTTGTAAAGGGGTACTGTTCTAAAGAAGTCTTGTCTCTGACAATGGTCCCCAAGTACGTCCATCAAAAAGCCATGGACGTAACAGCAAGAGAAGCAAACTTTTAGTATTAATGTCTTCATATGACGGTACAGGAAAGGTGTTGTTTTTTTTTTAGTAGAACAGGGCAGACTAGTTTGGTACGGTATTGACTTGTTTCCTGAATTATGTCGTCAACATAACTACACCGTGTCATCAAAAAAAAAAAAAAAAGTTTTTTTTTTTTTTTTTTTTTTTTTTTTTTTTTACAGTATTAAAGTATGCATTGCCGAATGCCCAATCTCCGCCTAAACTTGCTGTTAGCGATCCCGACCAGACACCAGAATTTCAGAACTGACCGTTACCTTATTCAAAAGTTATAAGCGATTTTTATAAATTTTCGATGGGAATAAAATGGTGCCTGATGTAGTTTCATTGATATTTATCATTTTTCTAAAACAACAAACGCGTACCCTCCATATTTACAGGGGCCTCAGGCTTGCGGCGTACAGGGACGTGTAAATCCTGTGACCAGCTGCACTTCGTAGACAACCCGCCTCACACTTTCGTGTATTCTTATCTGAGGAGGCTGCAGCCAACACTTGGTTGCAGGGTCTTCTGCCTTTTGGCTGCCTCAGGCTCTCGGTTGTATGGAAGTAAACCCAGTAAATTCCTTTGAACCTTTGTTGGCATCATGGTGAGCAAAACACAAATCTTTGACACGTTAAAAAAAAAAAAGAAAAAAAAGTGGGCGTTTGGGTGGTTAGTGATATTTCTGATCTGCGAGTGGTCCCAATCATGGACGAGCGAGGTTACGCATCATCCACGAGAATGCGACGGTGTATACTCCGTTTCACCTTATCTGTACAGCAGCGAAGGCTAGAAGCGCGAGCTCATAGCGTTGGCAGCTGCCCTTGGTGCACGGGATCTTGTGCCGCCGAGACGTGTCGTAGAGCACGGAGCTCGTGCTTGTGGCCTTTCCTGCGGTACATCATAAGGTGAAACAGAGTATAGTGCCAACTAGGGTGCCTCAATGTCCTTCTGTTTAGGGTGATGCCACCCTTTGTAGTACCACATGCCGACAGCACGCGCTCACGGGAAAAATACAAAAAAATCGACGAGAACAAAATGTCGCCATAGCACAGTCAGCGCCACAAGCGCGTGCAGGGACACGCTCTTTCACGCGCTTCTGAACAAAAAAAAAATAAATGTAAAAGTGTGTGACAAAATGGCGAGATGCCACCACCCTAAGCAAAGCGCACATGAAGGCACCCTAGTGCCAACAGTGCGGCGCCTGTTGTCCATTCGAATGGCCACCATGGCCACCTCTTTTTCTCCACGACAAGTGCGACAACTCCTAGAATGAGCGCAGCGGTCACCGCCGTAACAACTTCCATGTCGACCTTCCGACAAAGAATCGGTTCCCGAAGTGAGGGGATCACGGCTGTAGAAGAACGCAACTGACGCAAACCTCACCTCGTGACGCGCGCGCACCGCCATGTTCCTCGAAATCGCGCATCAGTGTCTGAACCACTGTAGTCTGAACCATTCAGTAAAAAAAGTATGTTTTATTCCTATCAATTTTTAAATTGGTTATTTCAAAATATCTGAAAGCCAATTTGAAACCAACCGGAAACATCGTCTGCTGGTGATGCGCATGCGCATTTCATTATGACCAAAACGAATTTGAGTTTAATTTATTTTTACATTTAAACTATTGAAATTGTTTTTATAATCCAATATAAATTGTTACGTTGTTATTTGTTATAAAATACGCTATTTCAATCAAAATCCAAGTTATAACTTACAGACTGTTCGAAAGCCAATCCGAATCCCATCCGGAGCGTCATTCGTTTCTCGCCGCGGGTTGGATTCGTCCAAGGGTTCATCCAAGTGTTCATCGGAAAACTGCGGGTTTCATTCCTCGTTCTCTGCACTGTGTTCATAACTGCGTTCCTCGCAAAATAAGTCTGCGAGGATGGAGGGCGGCAGTCCCGTGCGACGGGGCGTCGGCATGATTCCGCAGCAGGAGTACCTGCTGCAGGGCAGCATCATGGACGGCGCTTGCGAGGTGCTCCTCCACCGGCTGCGGGGCCTGTGCGACAACTCCGACTCGCCCATCGAGTCCTTCCACGACTACGAGATGGTCTTCCAGATACGTAAGACAACGTCGTCAGGTGTTCGCGGTCCGGTTCTTTGCGCGGGTCACACCGGTCGTTTTGTAGTGACAGCGGATGACAGGCTGTTATTTCGGCGGTACCGCTGCCGTAGCCCGAACTGGTGGGCGCCATAATTGAGTGCGGTTTTCAAAGCGTATGCTCGGAACAGGCCCCTACTCATCTTCCGAGGACTACAACCTTGGTGGTGCGCAATGCACGTTGCGGAAGCGTTTTGAAAACGCATCGTAAACTCGCGCTGAGCAGCAACGGGCTCAACTATGGCCACCCGTGAATACCATTCACTGATCTCTATGACAATTGCTGGATTGCGCTTCCCCGCTTGTTCGCTGCAGCGCGAGTGAAGCCACCGGACGACCATCTTGCTCGTAGACGATTTGCGGTTTTGCTAGCGTTGCAGAGGCTGGCGGCAGCATGCTAAAGACACGTTTTCTACTCGTTCGTCGTCATTCGCTGAAGGAAGTTTTTAAGACACTGTGTAACCGTCGAGACTTGCCGTTGTAAACATGTGGAAAATTTTACGAAAGCGGAGTGCCACAGGAAGAAGACGTAACTCGTCGAAAGTAAGTTTCGCCGGTCTCGTGGCGGGATCAAAGCTTTTTTGGCACGCCGAAGTGCTGCGTCTCTGTGCCTTCGCACACTTGCATGCCGATCAAGAATCGACACTGTGTGGACGTGGTTTGCGAGGGCAATGTGCGTGAAACCGTATGTAAAGGCACAACTCGTCGAAAGCAAGTGTCGCCGATCTCGCAGCCTGATCAAAGCTTCCTTGACATGCCAAAGTGCTGCGTCTCTGTGCCTCTGCACACTTGCAGGCCGATCAAGAATCGACACTGTGTGGATGTGGTTTGCGAGGGCAATGTGCGTCAAACCATATGTAAAGGCACAACTCGTCGAAAGCAATTGTCGCCGGTCTTGTAGCGTGATCAAAGCTTCCTTGGCATGCCAAAGTGCTGTGTCTCTGTGCCTTCGCACACTTGCCTGCTGATCAAGGATCGACACTGTGTGGACGTGGTTTGCGAGGGCAATGTGCGTGAAACCGTATGTAAAGGCACAACTCGTCGAAAGCAAGTGTCGCCGGTCTTGCAGCCTGATCAAAGCTTCCTTGGCATGCCAAAGTGCTGCATCTCTGTGCCTTCGCACACTTGCATGCCGATCAAGAATCGACACTGTGTGGATGTGGTTTGCGAGGGCAATGTGCGTGAAACCGTATGTGAAGGCACAACTCGTCGAAAGCAATTGTCGCCGGTCTTGCAGCCTGATCAAAGCTTCTTTGGCATGCCAAAGTGCTGCGTCTCTGTGCCTCCGCACACTTGCATGCCGATCAAGAATCGACACTGTGTGAATGTGGTTTGCGAGGGCAATGTGCGTGAAACTGTATGTAAAGGCACAACTCGTCGCAAGCAAGTGTCGCTGGTCTTGCAGCCTGATCAAAGCTTCCTTGGCATGCCAAAGTGCTGCGTCTCTGTGCCTTCGCACACTTGCATGCCGATCAAGAATCGACACTGTGTGGACGTGGTTTGCGAGGGCAATGTGCGTGAAACCGTATGTAAAGGCACAACTCGTCGAAAGCAAGTGTCGCCGGTCTCGCAGCCTGATCAAAGCTTTCTTGACATGCCAAAGTGCTGCGTCTCTGTGCCTCCGCACACTTGCAGGCCGATCAAGAATCCACACTGTGTGGATGTGGTTTGCGAGGGCAATGTGCGTCAAACCATATGTAAAGGCACAACTCGTCGAAAGCAATTGTCGCCGGTCTTGCAGCCTGATCAAAGCTTCCTTGGCATGCCAAAGTGCTGTGTCACTGTGCCTCCGCACGCTTGGATACCGGTAAAGATTTGTTTCGGCGCCATATGGATGTGTTTTGCGAGCGCAATGTGAGTGAAGCCGTATGTACCTCTGGGCAGCGTTTTACTTTTACTGTGACTACTGTATTTGTAACTTGTAGCACTCGCGGTCCAGAAAGGAGATTGATCCAGTGTCCAGTGGCAACAGAAGAGGGGGGGTTGGGGGAAGGGAGGGGAAGAGGGCGGCATCAGCGGCTTGTTGTTTTGTTTTGTTTACTAGACGCTTATGGCAATCAAATCAGTAGTACAAAATCTTACAGAGACGCAGCACTTCGGCGTGCCAAGGAAGCCTTGATCATGCCGCTCGAAACTTGATTTTGACGAGTTGTGGCTTTTTCCTGCTGCACTGTGCTTTCGTAAAAATTTCCACCTGTTCTCAACGGCAAGTCTTAACCCTGACACAGGATCTTAAAAATTTTCTTCGACGAATGACTACGAACAACTAGAAAGTGTGTCTTCAGCACGCTGCCGTCAGCCTCTGTAACGCTAGCAAAACCGCAAATTGTCTACGAGCAAGATGGCCGTCCGGTGGCTTCACCTGCGGGAGCGGGAAGTGCGATCCAGTAATTGTCATTGAGATCAGTGATACCGCCTATTCGTGACTCTCGACAAATATGGTAGCCAAAAACAGGTCGGACTGCGCTGCGGGCCAGCTCAACGCACAACGCTCGGGTTTAAGCAAGAAAGCATTGGCTTCAAAATGTTTTGCCCCATTTCTTATCAACTGCATTCAAAACCTTTGGCAGTGTGTTGGCGTAAAAGAGCTTCCAAAGTCTAAACCTGTTTCGTGGAAGCAATGGAAGAACTGCCTACTGTCCTCCTAATGTTGATTAAAGTGCAATGACCGGCTCACGCTGTTGCGTAAGTTGTGTTCAGAACGACCTAGGCAACTCACTGATGCGACAGTAACAACAGAGTCACTGCGACAACAGTTCGCCCTATACACAAAATGAAAAGCATCATAAGATGCGCCTAACTCGTTCAGACATTATGAGTTACAGTTTTCTCTGTTGCCCTTTTGTTGTTGTCCTTTCCAACACTGTTGTCACAACCAACGCAGCTTCCCTTGCTTCACTTTGGTGGCCATTGCGCCGTTCGCCGACAACATACAATCACGGAAACAGAGACAAACAAAAATTGCGAAAGGACCTGCTTCGGGCAGTTCAGTGTTCGCACTAAGATTTTTTATGGAGGCGGCCGAAGGTGGTGCATTCTGTGCATCTGAATTTCAGGGAGTGAACATACCCGAGTAAAGAGTAACGAAATTATGAGCGTGAATGCGCTACTTTTGGCGGCCATCTGCAAACAAAAGATGTCTGCGTGGCACAACAGGCAAGGGATGGGCGGCAGCTGTTTACATCGAAACAGCCTGACAAATAATGTTTTTTGTTGGTTTTGCATTCTTTCAGTGCTTTTTATTAGTAAAAACAGAAAAATCATGCATTACAGCTAAAGAGCCCTCGCCGAATTTTACTCAAAAACATTGTCCGCTATCGGAGGTCAGTGCATGCGCTGTACCGCTGCGCCAATTGGACACTTTTTGTTAGAAGACGGCCACCGTTCATAGCGAATTCACAACCTTAATTTTTTTTACATATTACTCAAGTGAGCTCATTGTTTAGAATTTTTGATACGCAAAATACACAATTTTCAGCCATCTCTGCAGAACATCTTAGCTCGATACGTAAAAAGACCTATCTATGCAGTCCCTTGGAAAAGCTAACGATCTCTGTGGCTCGCACGGTAAGGGCATTAAGAATCCAGGAACTCGGTGTCGTATTCGCAGGAAAAATCGGTGCCCACACGTAGCTGTCTCAAAGTTTCAGCAAAGCTGTATTTTAGTGGTGCATTTTGCCTCCTGACATTTCGAGACGTAGCTCTGTTGCCCGTTTAAAATTAAATTGACACTCGTGACATGTTTGGCGGCTGATGCCATGGCAGATGACAGAGTGGTCGTGCTTGCGGTGCCATCCCCTGATGGGTGCAGCAAGCGGAAGCATCTGGTTTCGACCGGGTGCCATCATCTGCTCGCTGCGCTGAAGGGAGATGGTGCTGGAAGCGTACCTGTCGTTTAACTCAGTTGTCGGCGGCCTCCGTCGAACCTGTTGAGGGTGTTGGTCTAATTTTCGATGGGAAGGAGACTTGCAGCCGAAAATTTCCCGGGGTAAAATACACCGCCAAAATAATCTTCAATGGAGGTTATTGCGACTAACAAATTTAGAATGGCGGGACAAGTCCTGCTCTTCTCTGCTTGCCATGATTGGTGGTTTCCTCCTCTCGCTTCGTCATCGTCCCTTTCTTTGCATTTGAAGGAGCGAAACTTTGAACCAATGTAGAAAGCGTCTTGTATACGTGGCTACTGCTTCACATGCCATACACTGTATCGCTGTAATGCACCAAGAAGACGGTGGAGCTCCGCATATCTTTGGAACGGTCTACCGCTCCAGCTTGAAAAGAACCTAAGCTCGTTTCGTGAGCTGTATCAAACTCAAACAAAATAAGAAAACCCAAGCAGCTTTTTTATTTTTATGAGAGGGGGAGGGAACGAGCCATCGAATTGAGCGCTGCGATTTGTTTCACCCTAGAGGGACACTGAACTGAAGAAGCGTATTTTGTTTTAAGTACTCAGATAGAGCGTGTGACTCGCGAGCTGAATGTTCCTTTAAGGCGCCCTGCAGAGAAGGCTACGAGCGTCAGCTACTTGCTCACAGTCGTGCCTCAGGTGCAATAATTCGTGTGCAGCAGGAGCTACGAAGGGGGACTCTCGGCCTTTGCTGCGGTACGTCTTGATGTAAGGAGGAGCATTGTGCCCGTTTTTAACGCAACGGCCGAGCTGAAACAAGTTCAAAGAAAGGGTAGGTCACTTGAGGCACCTTTACACACTTCCGGCTGTTTAGGATGTCTTACGTTCTACGAACACGTTGGAACCATCTGTCGGGCAGCCGTGGAACACTTACAATTTCCATATGTTTCCTTCCTTTTTACGCATCCTTCTTTCACTATCGTCGCGACAAAACTTTCGGCAATGTTATAAATGACCGTTTCTTGTAGATAGTTTGTACATTTGATCTCGCGAATACTGCAGAACCTTTGCTCTAGTGAAATGCAGTTCCAGGGCCACCTCACAGATGGCGCCAGAATGTTCTCTCGCCGGAAGAGATTGCAAGAGGTCGTAAAGCGGTCGGTCGAAAGCAGTCGCGAGTGTGTGAGCCAGCCTTCAAGGAAGCTGCAGCCTGCTCTGCCGGCAAACGGTACCTAGTGCGTGGCGCTGCAATGTCCTGCACTCCCGTAAGATCACACTCACGCCGACCAGATCATTCTACAAATGGGACATTTAGGCGGTTTTTACACTCTCAAACGAACACAGCAATTAAAATCAACCGGCAAGGTAGTTGTTTTCGTGACAAGTTCTATTAGAAGAAGTACGGGACAAGTTGCCAGTCGGCGCTTGTCCCGCATACTTACATCTTCTATTAGTCCTTGTCTTTTGCACCATTTTATTTTTCCGTCGTCTGCCACAACGGGCAGTTTTGCTGTCTTGCGATTTCTCGTCACTCTTGCAAATGTTTCAGGAGGTCCGACGAGTGCCCCGCTTTCGGTGCGTGCCAGGCAGTCCTTGGACAGCCCGCAGATGCCTTGGTGAGTGTCGAAGGGTATTACAAATGATGCTGCTGTCTGCGGACAAGAGTACTTCGGAGTGTCTAACCGGTAGGCACTCCAGTAGTCCAGCATAGTCTTTTGGGCCGTTTGGGCGAAACCTGAACAGCCCAAAATTCTCGAGAGAGTTTGGTCAGCCCACAAAAATTAAAGATGTCGGTGATTTGGGGCTAAACCACTTTCGAGTAGTATCGCCCTACTAGTATCACGATACTGTAACTCGTTATTTGTTTGGTAGCTCGTAACTATAATGCGGTACCTTCTTTTGAGGTAACTGTAACGATAACTTAATTACTCTTTTTGTAAAAGTACCGAAACGTAACGGCAAAAACACTTGATGGAAAACTAAACCTTTTTTTTTAAAGGGAAAAGTGGGCTTGAGCCTATGAAGAGGCTAAGCCCGACAGCAGAAGCGAAACATTAAACAAAAAACAAACTATGTTTTCTTCGCCGTAAAGTGTCCACACAGATGGCAGATTTTTCTACTTCTCTGTTTCTTCTTATTTATTGCTCACGTAAGCATATTTATTTTGTTTCCAACTGTTGCACGCAACTCTTTCACTCCGTCTTCTCCCTTTCCGACCTCTTCAAACACCCGTCTCATTCGAAAGCCGACTCACAGGAGCATGTAGTGTGAACCGTTCAAAGTCTCACAAAGGGACGAGGGCCTGTTTTAGGTCGGAAGGCTTCATCTTTTTTTACATTCAAAGCTGCGAAACACCTCCTTTAAGGCTAGTCTGGACACTGGAGTCTAGCCTCAAAGCAGGCTCTTCCTTTGCAAAAGCAAGCCCCAGATGACGTTTCCTTTGGCCAAATTGCCCTCTCCCAGAAACCTAATGCCCGTGGTCAACCTTTTTTTTTTTTCTTTTTTTTCTGCATTGTATAAAATAAAAAAAAAATAAAAAATTCAAGCACAATTTGAGACAACTTTTTGCCGTATCTGACCTGCCCTCATGTTATCAGCAAACGGCTATGTGTGCAATAAACCAAGAATATAACCAATGTTTTTAGTACTAGGCCAGCTCTGCTAACTTTCGAGATAGAAACTCCGCTCTCCCCCCAACGTGTGTCTCCACTTGATTCCTGCACAACCTCTCTTGCTTGCCTTTGGACGCATCTGTAACTAAGGTTCAGAAAACATCCCCAGTGCACAAGGAGGGTGGTGCTTCGGTCGACTGGTGATGAATTTTGGCGGAAGGGAGATTCCGGCTCGTGCAAGCGAGGCTCCGAAACGGTGGTCCGTTTTCCCTACATTTTCGTATCACATTGATCGTCAGTGTAAAATGGCCATTTAACGGAATTTCATACCCAGCACAGTCGAAAAATGATAGCACCATCCTACAGACCAAATGTGAAATCATTAGAACGTCTGGCAACACTCTGTGTGCTGCCATCTTTGTTGCATCAACATTCCTCTGCTGTTTATCAATTTCGTAGCGTTGTCGGTAACAATCGAGGATTGATTGCATTGTTACGTGCTCGACACCTTGCCGGTCGCTGGTTTCTCACCGCAACCACCATGGTATACATAAACGTCCAATCGAACTTTGGCTTTGAATGCCAGCAAAGGCATGCACGTAGGCACCTAGGTTTTGAAAGCGCTTTCTCTGCATGAGTGCTTGTGCGAGTGAAGTATTCTTCAGAACTATGCTTTCGTGCCCTGGCCTTTGCCAGCGCCAAAGCCAACTGGTGAGATGGAGCGTGTCCTTCGGCACCCCACTAGATGGCGCTTTGCATTTCGCATATGGCCTGTTACAGCAATCGCCCATTTTTTTATTTATTTCACATACATCCGAGTGGAAAGAACCATCTTTAAATAGACAGCTGCGTGGTACATCGTTCTGAGGGCTAAACCTTCTTGTTATTCCTTACATGGGAAGTATGTATGTAACGAGCAGTTGGCCTGAATTAACATGGAACCTCGTTGATGTATTTTGGTGCTTGGTGTATTTTCCCGGCTGTTACGTTCACGAACACCAGTCCCATTGAGCTCCCATAGGGGTATGTGTATTTATTTTACGTTCATTGCTTTTGCATTCCCTTCCGTCAGACCCCAAAAAACTGCTCACATCTGTCGTGCCTGGTTCTGCCAGTTTCTCTAGTTTCATTTTGTTCTGAAGTCCCGAGAAAACGTCCCTGAATTTGCTGAAAAATAAATCCCGAAAATATTGAACCCCACCCAAAATTGCCGGGGCAGAGTCCCGTAATAAATACAGGGCGGGGTTTCGTAACAAATACTGACTGAAGTCCCATGATGTTTATGGGGCAGGGACCCGTGACACCTACAAAGTCGTCTGGGTAACAGTTACGGCGTTCCCTGTTTGCGTCTGCTTGCAGGCACCTCCGCTACGTGGGTCAGCCCGAGGTGGGGGACAGGAGCAGGCACACGGTGGTGAGGAGCTGCATCGACGTGAGCACCTCCAACAACCTCGTCAGCTTCCTCAATGAGCTGGGTTTCCGGTAAGCAACACTGGGCCTAGTCGCCTATTCAGGCCTCAACGGCTCTGCAGGCCATAACAGTGGCGCCGATTTTAAAGCAGCTAGATGATACTTTGCAGACAGTTTGTTTGCCGACGCAAGCGAAGAACAGATTTTGTCTGCTATGAAGTGTCACTCTCAAACAAAACTGAGACAAAAAAAAAAAAAAAAAATCCGCATGGCACAGGGTTCTCACGGGTCCTCAAAAACCTTCAAAATCCCTCGAATTTGGAAACGCTGTTTTCCAGAACTTGAAAGCCCTGGAATTTTTATTGGTGCTTAAAAACCCTTAAATTTCCCAATGATAGTTTCTTTCTTTTTTTGCTACAATGAAATTTGTTTTACAATAATAAAATATAATTATTCTTGTTCTGTGTATGTTAACATAAATTTGGAAATTCCAACGAGGAAGTTTTCTTATATGGCACATTTAGACACATTTAGCGAATGACTACTAAGCGCCTTGCCACAATGGTTGCTGATCTGACAGCTTCAGCCTATCATTTCGCTGAGAAAGCAGAGGCAACAGGTGACATCACCTACATTGTCAAGTCGAACAGGCTAAGGAAAACGGCGAAAATCAACATGCAAGAGCTTCTAAACATCAGCCAGGAAATCAAGGAAAAGCTACAGTAGCTCTTCAGAACCCTTTACTAGCAGCTCTTTGGCAAATGCGCCTTTTTCTAGGTATCGTGCAATAAAGAATTTTTGCAGTGCATTTAGGAAAGTTTTTATATTATGAATTTACTATATAGAGTATTATAAGCACTCCTTGAACACATCTTTACTTGCTCTTGAAAACTCTTCAATTCTTTTCGTTGGACCCTGTACGATCCCTACTGCTATCTGCTAACAAACCGAAAACTGGTGGATCTCTACTACAGACCTAGTGCCACGGCGAAATATGATTGCACGCAGGATGAAATCGTGATCGTCTGCTATTTCACGTCATAAGCGATAGACGGCCCGTGCATTCTTTGCAAATCTTAAATTGTTCTTTTGCCTTACACAAGCTGATATCGACTGGTGGATGAAGGAGGTCTCAGGAGAAGCACATCAGAGTCCGCGAGACCTCTCTCACCATTACTGTGTTGGTGGCCAGCTCTCCCCAAAATACTGCCTGATTGTGGTCCCACAAACTGTTCCGATATTCCCCGTTGGTCGATTACGCTCGCCTAGCAGAAAGATGCGGCACCGCGACCAGTTAGCAGCCGAGAAAGCCCTCGCTTCTGCCATGCCCAAAATTGGAATGCGGGGGTTGTTTCGCTCGTGGCTCAAGCTCCATTCCAAAACTTAAAAATTTCACGTATTAATCTTTCACTCGAGGGTTTTTGTCTTTTATCTTTTCCAGGTTGGACTTTGAGTTTGTGCTCAAGGGTCACATGTTCCAGAAAGGTCGCATGAAGGTCATTGTTGCCAAGGTCTTCAGGGTAAAGCTCCTGCATTTCACCTTGCTCCTTTGCATTTGTCAACTGGTCTTCCACAAGGGTCCTTCGAGGTTGACCGGGACTTGTATTCCTTTGGTGGATATGAAAACTCTGGCTAGCATGAAACTATGTCACTTTTTCCAGTTATTTCCCGCATCCATTCATGCACCGCCGCCATCATTTTGGGCAACGACCCGATTCCTTTGGCGTCGGAAGAACTGGGTTCTCTGACCGCAGTGGGATGCACGTGCCTGCGGGGTTCATTTGTCGGCAGTTGTCGTCCTTCACCAAACTGTCGACACTGCTTGTCCACTCTTGTTTCTGACATTGTTTGTTCCCCACACATAAAATAGGAAAAATAAAAACACTGAGGATTTTTGCAGACAACCAAACTCTTCCATTTAGCTACGACAAAAGCTTATTTCTGGGCGCGAAAAATTCACACGTTGACCAAAATCGGGGAGGGCTGAAGGAGAGGAGGTTACAATCGGGAGCACTGAAAAGGAAGAAGAAAACAATGACAGATTGCGAAATGTGGGCCCACGTACGGTCACCCATGAACAAGGAGTCGAGCCGGCTTCGAAACGTCATGCACGACGAAGAAATTGCTTAGTCTACTAAGTACTACCCCTTTCGTATTGCTTACTTAACTAGGTGGAGCTTTGCCGACATGTTTGTATTTAAGACTGTATGTAGTCGTCTAAACAAATTAAAACAATCGCTTCTTAAATACTGCATTTCAGGCATTCTAGCACTTTGAAGGTAAAAGTCGCTGCCAATTTTATTCATCAAAAATTTGATTACGAACCACCACTGCACAGTTACAGATAGATGACTCGCCACCACGATAACTGGAACTGCTGCGCATGCGTGAAATAGAATAGGTCATTCAGACCGTGCGATATTGAAGAAGGATAGGTTAACATTCTCCGAAAGTTTCATCGTTCTAAACTTGTTCATTGATTTCCTTGTGGACGAAAGTTCCAGTCAACCTCGAACAACCCTCATAGGTTCCACCCACCATGACTCCATGCCTTTTCGTGTATTTTGAGAACTGCCATTGTCTATATACTTCCATAATTGTTGCCTTCTTATTTTATGTCTAAGAATAGCCCCTTGTTTCCCTAATGAACCTGACATCTATTTTTATTGCATGTATTGCCTATTGTAAGCCTAAGGTGAAGTAGGTACTTGCATAAAGATAAAGATCTTTTAAAATGGCAATTGCCGTAAAGGCCGGTAAATTAAGCGCAATGCTCCAGGACTGTAGTAGCAGGGGTGAAGGACAGCCCAAAGTATTTTTGTCTTCACTCTACGGCAGGTATTGACCAAACACACACGGAGTAGGTTCTAGAAATAGAAATGAGGCATTTATTTGGATAAAAGGTTAAAAGCGTTAATGAAAAAGGGGGACAATGAATATGCACACATGACAGGACAGGCGCTTTACTCTCAGCTGGTTTTTAATAGCAGCATGGTCACCTATATATACACACATTATTGCCCTATCTGCATCACACCCAATCGCACACTCAATGACAGCCATCCAAAAACACAGATTCACTTTGAAGCAGTTAGACAGATGGAGCACTGACACAATTGCCTTCTGTCTTTTTTATGTAGAACACCTCTATAATCTCTCTACTCCTCAAAAAGAGATTTAATTCAGTTATGGACCAACTAGTCTAAACCCAAGTTTTATTGCAGTATTTGGCCAATCGAGATAAGAAACAGAACCTGGTGGTGCAGAATTGGGATTGCAATAAAAGGATTGTGTCACGTCTTTCCTCGTAGCTGATTTGTTAAAGGGGCAACCATCTTGACTTTAAAAGAATTTGCAGCTCGTATTTTTTGTAATACTGTTTATCTTGCCATAAGTGAATGTGCGTCACCGTCCTCCAAAATACTGCAATTTCGTTGCGTAATCATGACAGAATAAACACTTTTTCCCCGATCTACAGCCACACGTGGCTGTAGATCGGGAAACGGTGTGACATCATTCAGGGTACACAAGTTATTGTGGTGCCATCTATCGGAAGCAAAGAAAATTATTTCCTCTCCGTCGCTGCTTTCTCCATCTTTAGCGGCGAACAGTCTTTCATCTTGATCACTTGCCGTGACCTTGAACAATGCTGGCAAAAATGGTTTTCTGTTCGTCTTCTTGGCGACACAGACCGATTGCTGCAATTAATTGGCCAAAGTCTGCAAATGGTTGCACAGCCCCTTTTATGCTTCATTGATTTGTCTCGCTCGCAGCTGCTGCAGCAGGGGAACCCCGACAGCTGCGAACCGGTGTCGCAGTCGCACATCATCGAGCTGAGCGTCATCGCTCCGGGAGGACAGGTGAGGCCCTAAAGCTTCAAAATCTTGAAAGAGGCACTGATGTAATTTTTAAAGCTTAGTGTCGGGGTTGCTGTAGGTAGTAGTACCATGTGGCAGCACTGGCACCGTTATCAGCCATGGCAACGGTGGCCACACCACTTTCCCGCGGCTGCGTGCACGACTGACCGAGCCGTACAGGTCGTCGGCTCAAGTGGAAAAGTTTTTATTATTTTATTTTGAATACTGTCAACCCTCGTTAAGGGCTATTCACACGAGGAGAAATCCCGGGGATTTCTCCCTCGTGTGAATACCCCTTTAGGGTCATTACAGGAGAGGGATTCTCATGATCTTATGAATTAATAAAACAGTAGCCTTAAACAACAACAAAAAAAGAACAAACACTTGCCCTGAAAAATATAGATGCCGCATTCTATGGTTTTTGTTTATAATTTATTTAAAATTTTCGACAATACAGTGTAGACCGCATATAACGTATGTCGCGGGAGTTGCGAAAATCCGCACGATAAGCGGTACCGCGCTGTAACCAAAACATCAATTTTTCAGGCCAAAATGCATGCCATCAGACAACTTACCTTTGTAAAAGAATTTATTTTATGTTAGATGAAAAATAAAGCTTAGTTTGAGGAAAGTCTTTATTTCACCAGACTAGTACTCTTTTCTCTCAAGTGTGTCACACATTCTGAAAGAAATGAGCGACTTTTGCCTGGCGCAGCGTTTTAACGGCGTCGCGGGTTGCGGACGGACGTTGCGAGCGTTCAGGATTGCTAACCCTAATCACTTTTCTCCAGTGATGAAAACGCGTGAAAATTCGCATCCTTCATACGGTACGCGCCAGCAATACCTTGAACTTGAGCACACGCATGAAATACGCCAAATAAGAAATCCGGGCGATGTTCGAGGACACAAATGCTTAGCAATCACCACTGTAGTCGAAGTAAACAAACACGACGACACGGGCGTTTCTGCCGTCTTGAGAGCGTCGCCACGACATCGCCGCACGAGTAGGTGGATCTTCCCTTCTAGTACGTGCTGGGTTATCATAGCGTCACACAGCAAAAATTCAGTCAAGGATAGCGCTTTTACGCAGAACGATGAGATGAACGCCGTAGAACCTCCTTGTTTCCAACCATCGCAGCGGAGGGACGCACGCACGTGAGCGACACGTGCGTGCGTCCCTCTGTCGCTATGGCAACTGAAGCCTCTCTCTTCGCTTCTCCCCGCTTCTTCGAGCAACCTCCTTGCCCCGCGAGTGCCGCTTGTGGCTCGCGCCGTCAGCGCTGTTATCTAGTGTCGCACAGGGAAGCGTGCTCGCTGCTCCGGTCGTCAGCGCGGTCGGCAGGCTGTGCCAGAAACCGCACTATAACCGGTATTTCCCTTCGCGCGCCTGCATTTGAAGCAGTATGTAATTACATGGAGTTCTATGGGAGGCGAAGCGGTGGTTTAAAAAAAACCGCGTTATACCCGGTCCTGCACTATAAGCGGTTACGTTGTAAGTGGTCTATACTGTACAGAATTGCCTTGGCGCAGAGGCAAAAGGCGACAGGGAATGTCGCCTGACTGGGCGCCTACCTTTAGAGTTCACTTGGAATGCAAGCGGAACTACAACAGAGCAACACAAGTATGACATAAAAACTGCAAATACTGTACAGTCAACTCTCACTTGAGCGAACGCCAATGAACCCAAGCAAATGGTTCACTTAACTGAGTGCACTAAACTGAATATATTGACTAGAACATGGAACAGCGTAGGGCACAGTATACATCCAGTCAAAAGTGTGAAATCCAATTTATGGAGTCATGTACATCGATATATACAAACAGCATAACAGTTGCGTCGCTGCCTTTCTCATGTTTAAAAAAAAAATCTAATTTTCATTAACACCGGCCGCAACGGCATCGCCCACTGGCTCGAAATATCCCGTGCAGAGTCGTTTCCCATTGGGATTGAACGCAGTTTCTCCTTCAAGCTTCGACTTTTGCTTCACTATCGTTGACAACGTTGACAGTGGAAACCCTTAGTCCTTCGCAACATCCACTTGCCTTTGATTGTTGTCCAGATGCTGAAGGATTTTGGGGTTGTCTCATAGAGACAACTGCTTCCGTTTTGTCGTACTCATTACGAAAGTGGGCGCACAAACTGCCGTCCTGCCGTCGTTACCCAAAACTAAGATGGCCGAACGGAACTGACGACGAAGAAAAGGCAGACACAACATGTTAGTTTTTGTCTACCGCACCGCCACTTTGCCTAGGCGGCGCTGTAAACGCCAGCGATGATACGCCGCCGCTGCAGAGGCGGTGATGGGCATTGGCTACGCCAGCACTGCAGAGCACAAAACTCCATTGAACTGCTTGCTAAAATAACCCTGGGTCCATCGATCAAGTTTGTTGAACTGAAATATTTGCTACTCTGAAATCCATTTTTCGTTTAACTGAAACATTCTTATATAGAATGCACAGCAAAACTGCCGGAGATTTTTTAAAAATTTGTTATTCTGAAATAATTGTTAGACCAACCTAGTTTACTGTACAGTAGTATATACAAAACATGCAGTGCAACAACAAAATGTGAAATAAAAGCCATTAAAGACATTGAACCCTATGAGAAAGCCATTAAACGAGATATAGGAGATACATCTTCAATTGTTTCCTGAAGGTCTGTGGACAGGAAGTGTGTTCCAATAGATCAGTTAAGTCGGGGTAAATATGCAGGAGGGTTGAGGCAATTCAATCGTTGTGTGCCATAGTTAGTTCTGGTTCTAGTTTTTACAAAATGTCTACAGTCGCCGACCGATTTTTCGGATTTGTCAGGGGTCGGAAAAACGTACAAATAATAAAGCAGTCAGAAAAATTAGCAAATTAAAAAACTTGCCTTTATTACATCTAAACGGGCTTAGAAAAACCTG